TACTTAAGTATTTATAATGATAATATATGATACATTTTAATCAATAAATCTTAAATACTCCATTACTTTATGAAGGAATGTTTCTATTAGGGATGGGTACTACTGACAGATTTTACAAATCGATTTGGGTTACAATTCGAGTTGTAAGTTGACAAACTTTTTTCGTTAAGAAAATGAATTATGCATATTACTAATCAAAAATTAATTTGTGAAATATTTATGGTAGGAAATTTAAAATAAAAAATATCTTCATGGAACATGATCTTTACTTAAATATCCTAATTATTTTTTGGCATAAAAGAAAAAGCGACAATTTTGACCCATACAATGTATTGTTGGCTATTGCTACAAATATACCTGTGCTACTTAAAGGGTTCATATGATGTTGCTAAAAAGAACAGTATTTTGTGCATTTGGTCTAATGAAATGTGGTTTAAGGTTCAAAAAACACATTATTTTCCACATACTGTACATTATTGTTTCTCCTCTATGCCCCGCCTTTCTGAAACGCGTCGATTTTTACAAAGCTCATCGGTCTGAAAAGCGAGGTTGCATCGCGCCGCGTAAACATAAAACCATGTCTGCATTTGTGATCGGAGAAATGACAAACAAGCACTACTCTACAGTAAATTGTGCTTTCATACATTATAAAATGTATTTTTGTGTTATATATATTATACACACACACACATTATACATAGACACATATATAGCTGAAAAGCATATATATATATATATATATATATAATAATAAGTAATAATGTATATGTCTTTACTTTCTTTTTTTATGTTAGCGATGCCAAACATTTGAACAGTATTATATATAGGTCTATAACACCATCTTAAATTTCTAGACCAAAAAAAAATTGCTAATTTTTTGTTGTTGTTTTTGTTTGTATCTCCATTAAGCGATCTAAATGTAGAGAAATGTGACCAAGTAAACTTGTCAAGTTGGTATGTTAAACAACTATTATAAAATTACAATCCATAACCCAAACACAGTGAACTGCAGTAAAAACAAACATGGGGACACACAGGAGCAAGAGACCAAGGGCTCAACACAACTGCTCCTTTATAAAGAAGGAAAAAACAGACATGATTAAATACTATCTGACAGAATAATAACAAGGTGTATATGGCAATAACTGCTTAGTTTCACGCATGCTGTCCACCCCACACTCAACAAGCACACAGCAAAACAAACAATAGCTTAGAATTGTGTTCCTCTGAGTGAGCGTTTGCAGCTGCTCAAAAACTCGCTTTAAATATATAAAATATAAAAACTCTTTAAATATAAAAGACGTACTTACAGTGTTTGAGTCTGAACAGCCGGCATTGTAGGCTACTCTCCCAGGATCAGGAAACAGTCCTCCATAAAATGTGCTGCACACATCTGAATATTTGGGTTGAAGTGTTCTGGAACAGTGTTGTAAATACAACTTAACATATATATATATATATCTAACTCAGATAGTTCATTTTCTTAACCTAAAATGTAATTTCTGTGGTAATGGGCAGTACAGTATGTCACTGATGCTGTCAACAGATCTCCAGCAGGATTCAATGATGGGTCAGCAGATGAACAGGAGCAGTAGATGGAGGACAGGCAGAGATGTGACAGTTTACAAGAGAGGGGCACTAGAGCGGAAAACAATCAATGTTTTCACCCCCTTTTCTTGCTTCTAAACTGCTCTATTGTTCGCTGTGGAGATGCTCAGTGTTCACTTAAATGTCCTCAATATGTTCAGCTATAAACCTCAGACAGACCTCCAGGCTTCCCACACCTCTGACCAGTCCACTGTCCAGCCATATGTGGACCACGACTACAGTTTTTAAAAATTAAGAAAAATTATAAAAAAATTAAAAAAAAAATCATTTAAAAGTGACTGGACCCAAAACAGCCTAGAAATGAACATAACTATAGCCACTGTAGACATTTCCATGACTTTTTAGTTTTGTTCATTTCTAAGCCTTCTCAAGGCATTTAAAAAAAAAAGTGTAGTTCACAACATCTTTGAACTATGATGTTCAACAAACTATTAAATCATTATTTTATTTAAATAAAAACAACAAAGATACACAACAGAGGCACCAAACTAACAATTTAAACAGCTAACGCTACTGCACAGAAGTATCAGAGTAACGCCGATGAAAAGGACTTTTCCCTCAATGCAGAGAAGTCCAAACAATTTAGAGCAGGGACTAAATTTAAAGTATTTCAAGTAAGATAGGGCATTTTATTTTGAAATATGATAACAGATGTAAAGTACTAACCTTGATTCAGAAGCTGGTTTCCTCCTCGAACGCGCCTTTCCTGCATATCATAAGCTGAAGACTGCGCTTGGCTTTTGAGCGCCAGAACAACCCATTTCTGTTTTAAAAACTTTATAGTGCTGATACTCCATGTGCTGCTGACATGACAGCTCTCCCTTCTTACTACATCATCATCATCATCATCATCATCATCATCATCATCATCACTGCTCAGTGACAACACGCACACATCCGCTCATATGCCACACTTCCGCTTTCAAATCCTCCCATCTAGCGGTCACTTATTGCAACAACCGCTAATAAAACTACAAGAGTGCGCTTCTGCAGTCAGACTGTTTTTAATAATATAAAATAAAAATAATATAATATAATGCGCCACTACATAATAGGACAAGCGCAAACGGTTAGAGATTTTCCTCCAGGATGGCGATAACCCTGTTGAAAAAACCAGCATATGTTCGTTAGGTATGTTTTGACGCTGGGATGCTGGTTTAAGCTGGTCATGTGCTGGCAAAGGAAAATCTCTAGCATCTGCTAACTGGCGTATTCACGTTCATAAGAGAGTGGCGTTCCAGCGGATGACGTAGGCATAGCGTAAGCTCTGGTGAGAAGTGATTAAATATCGATAGGACCAGCTTAAACCAGCAAAGGACCAGCATAAACCAGCAAAGGACCAGCATAAACCAGCAAAGGACCAGCTTAAACCAGCATCCCAGCGTCAAAACATACCTAACCAGCATATGCTGGTTTTTTCAACAGGGAAGTGCTGTCTTTCTGCGTATTATGAGGGAGTCGTTTGTGTCATTTCGAATTCTGTCGATTTTACTTCAGAAATGAGAATAAAGCCGATAAATGCGACCTCTGGATAGCGCAGACTTCGAAATAAGAGACAGAAACTCAACCATTTAGTCATTTGGTTCATTCATGCACACAGTCAGCCACTACTGTGTTGATTTGGAGAAACAACGGTTGATTCTTGTAGTTACAAAAATAAAACAATGTAGCTGGAAATATTGTCTAAAAGGTAAGAATTTTAAATTCTTGTTTATTAACCTCAGGAGATTATGTGTGAAAATTACTGCTAAGGTAAACTATATTAGGTTAAAATGTTTTTGGAGTTTATCTACAATTATTTACCTTATTGTAGTGCTGTCAAACGATTAATCGTGATTAATCGCATCCATAATAAACGTTTTTGTTTACATAATATATGTGTGTGTACTGTGTTTATTTATTATGTATATATAAATACACACAGTATATATTTTGAAAATATTTACATGTATATACATTTATATTATTATCAGTGTTGGGGGTAACGCATTACAAGTAACGCGAGTTACATAATCAGATTACTTTTTTCAAGTAACTAGTAAAGTAACGCATTACTTTTTAATATACAAGATAATATCTGAGTTACTTTTTCAAATAAGTAATGCAAGTTACTGTTTTTTTCCAATTTATTGATTGACAGCTCTCCTGTCCCCATGTTGAGAGAAATCAGAAGATGTTACTGTAGTAATAAAATAAATATGAATATGCATTAATTCATCTCACTCACACACAAAAAAAACAGATTCAGTATTCCTCAAAATGAATAATAATGCAACTCAGAATATGATGCAAACCTGCAATAATGAAATGTTAAACAACACAAATATCCTTTATGTATTTAATCCCATTCTATTAACCAATGTCTTTGCTTCTGACCTTCGATGATCCAGTTCAACCATACTAATAAGCAAAAATTACTCTAGACAACATTTGTGTCTTTTTTTATTGCTGAAGTGTGTTGAAATTTCTTCTTCTGCATTCTACTATATGGACGTAAATTTACTTTCCCTTCAGCCTGAGGCTTATTCATTTCACTTTTCGTGTGAATAGGCTTTTATATTTGCCAAAAATATAACTTTTTTATTTTAAAAACAAACAAGCATGCCCTGTCCAGATTTAAAAAGTAATGCAAAAGTAATGTAACGCATTACTTTCCATAAAAAGTAACTAAGTAGCGTAATTAAAAAAACACAATATTGTAATGCATTACTTTTAAAAGTAACTTTCCCCAACACTGATTATTATATTATATATAAATATATTTAATATATAAACAACATATTTTTCTTAAATATATACATGCATGTGTTTGTATTTATATAATAAATATACACAGTGCACACACATATATTATGTAAACAAAAACTTTTACTTTGGATGCGATTATTCGCGATTAATCGTTTGACAGCACTACTTTATTGTGTTATCATGATGTACTTTGAGTTGAAAGTTTGACAGTCTTTGAAATGTCAATCTTTATGTTTCTAGAAAAATCACACAAATGAAGGCCGCACACTGGATAAGCCATATCGGTCAATGTTGTTGCTGAGTGCATTAGCCATGTTCCTTTATCAAAGCTAATATGTGGGAAAAAAAACTACAGGCTATAACACAAAACTCTTCATGTATGTTGTTTTCTAGAACAAATTTAGTTATACATGGTTTAACAAATTAAAGATAATTTACACACATAGTAGCCTACTTGTAGTTCGGCCTTTACAAGGACATGAAGGTGCTAATTACAGAACAAATGAAAAAGGAGGCATTTGACATATCACAAGCTGTATTTATCAAGGAATTAACTGTACAGAGTCAGTCAGGATCTGAATTACACAGCATTCATTCATTCACTGATTCCATGTGTATTAGTGTCACCCTTGAACAGTGGCTGTGAGTGAGAATGAGAGGGGTTTCATCATGCACAGCAGTACCATTACAGGGACAATGTTATTCATGCAACCTGAATTGCCCAGTTTCCTTTCGATTTCTTTCCTTTGAGCTTTGGAGAAATAACCCCACGGATATTCAAGACTGATATTAAAACCCATAAAATGTTCTTATTTCACAGCAGAAAAAAAGAGCATTTTTGTTTGTACAGAAGTAATTACAATTTGTACAGGTCATCGAGCTGCTGAGCTAAAACCAGTGGTGCTTAAGGGTCTGACACTATAGACATGACACGGGGAGTGAGTTTCAGTCATACCCAAACATTTAAAGAAGATAAAAATGTTACTATGAGGGTTCATCTGCCATAAAACCCGCTTAACGTGTGATACTGTATATATAAAAGTAATCAAACAACCTTTAAGAATATAGACATCACAAGAAACTCAAAAAACGTTAAGAGTAGTAAGCTGAAGTAGACAAGGCTATTAAACCATAAAACAATATGTATTTACTGTTGGGGTTGTGCTTTGTGTTGATTCAATGGATCAGATCCATCTTGGATTTAATAACATTTTATAAATGTTTCCAAATGCTTCCGGTTACACACAACAGTTTCATATCCATCAACTTGCATGTGACGGAAGCAGCAGGTATTAAATGTGTGTATGCAGTTGTATGAATGAGAGTGTAAGCCGGTGGCATTCATGATTTCTTAAAATATGCTGCTGAATGAACACATTGTTTTATAATACTGCTAGCTGAGCTAATCACAAAACACAGCAACTTGTCCCAGACCCTCAAGCACCAATCTTCTGCTCACAATAGCACTGTGCAATGGGGCAGTCATTTAGTGCAAAGGAAAAGTTGCATAAATTTTCTACTTGCAAGTGCATACATTATTTCCGTTTGCCACCACATTGGACACTTTTACTGCATACCCTCTGCCTGTATAAGTTATTCTATTGCATAAAAATAGGATTTTTTTTGTACCAAAAAGTAGACTTGGAGACAAAACCAAGGGTGTCAAAGGAAGAGAAATTCAGACCCAGACACAGAAAGCTCTTTCGATATATATATACAATGCTTTAAGATTGTATAGAGAAATGAGAGCTGACAATTGTATATTTAAAAGCAGGGACATTACAAAAGCATTTGCATGATGCTCTGTTCAGATAAAAGAACAAACATGAGCTTGCAAAGCGAAAACGACTAACTTGTTGATTGAAAAAAAATGGTACATGAACATCATCTCCTCCCTCTCAACGATTGGTTTACATTCCATACATTCCATACATACTTTAGGACAATGAGGCACAAATATAATACCTCAAACCATTACGTTTCCGTTTAGCACACACTTTGACATTTAATTTCAACCCTGTATGTTGCATGAAAAATCGCATGTCATTATGTAGTCAGCTCATTTGTGTGCATGTATATGTATGGATCTCAAAAGAACCAAATTGGATTTGTGTCAACATTTGCAGAGCTGTCTAAAGCATGTACCGCTTTTCTTGCAATATACCTTGCATTTTTGCTAGCTATGGGCTTTCTATACGATCACCTGCGGAACTACACAATTCAAAGACATATTTATCCCAGTTTCTGCCAATCAGGAGAGACAATCACATAACATCATGGCATTCAGCTGCCATCTTACAAACATTACCAGTTAAATCAAACGCCTGCATCCATTCAGCCCTGCTTGGAAATAATGCTGGGAGAAAGTGACAAAAGGAAAAAAACTTGTGGAATTTTACAAAACAATCAATTCTTTGCTTGGAAGACTTTTGAGTATAAATAAAATGATGTAAACCTGATCTCGCATTCAGAATGGCTTGATGACGAATACGATGTGTACATGACACATACACACAACTGATTTGGTAATCTGTCATTAAAAGAGCAAATTAACTCACACTCGACATTTAATGCATAATATGAGATTAATGGTTGAGACTTGGGAAAACTCGTGTACGAAACCAACAAACCCCAGTAATCAAATCTGAGAATACACACTCACAGCAGGTGAGCTGCTTCCCTTTATTTGAAACAGACCATTTATTTCTTCAGTTGAAAGTTAAACCTGGTAGGCATGCTCCGATATGTCACACGGCGTTCAAACGTGTGGATGAGCCAATGAATACAAATCAACACTTTAACAGTATAAAAGAGCAAAACAACTTACAGGGTACACATACATATGGGTCATCTTTTTCACAGACGGATTAGAAAATAATCTTCATGAGCTACTTTACTATAACATCTTTCTCGTTTATCCTCAATTTGCCTATGCTATCAGCTCTTTGGCCCATATGGAGCTTCTGAATTGTCATGGTCCTTTTCAGCCACTAGAGGGCGCTCACTGACACATGAGCTCCGTGCTCCTCCATGTTGCCTGATTCCATACTCAACTGGACAGCAAGACATAAAGGGAGTTCACAGTGACGCCTTCGTTTCCTGATCCCGTCAGAGCACTTTCCTGGATTTCCGAAAGTCCTGGCTCCTGGCTCACTACTATCGTGTGCCTCATTTCTTCTTGCCTGTCTTTTTCTCAGGCTTTTCGCCCTTGTCTGAGCGCACAGATCCCCCATCGGCTCGGTCTGACTTTTCACCTCTTTCCGAACCGCCTGCCCTGCTGCCATCCCTGCGCGTTCCCTCGTCAGTAGATGAGGTAGTTGGATTGGTCTGCCCCGGTTTGGCAACCTCTTCATGCTCACTTATACTGGTGTTTATACTTGTGGTCCAGCTTTTCAGATCGTCCTGCAGACCAAAGAGAGATTGAAGTCTTCACACAAAAAAGTTTGTAATGTAATGAGCTATAGCCAGGACCAGCACAGAATCAGCAAGAGAGACCCCCATAGAAAGCTTTGGAGATTTCTACAGAATCTAAACAGTTCTACACATTCCCCAACCCTTGTGTTTTACTTACTTATGAAATATTTACTTATGAAATATTTCGATTTATTTGATTAATGCTTTCTGCCAATGAGGTTTTTCTGTGTGTATGCCACATAAGTGTGTAGTCCCTGCTGGGACTGTACTACTAGCTGATGGACTTGCTTGGTCAGGCTAGTTTGAGCTGGTAAATCAACTTAAAGGGTTAGTTCACCCAATATAAAAATTACACCATGTTTTACTTACCCTCAAATAGGGCTGTGCAAAAGATCGAATGTGATTTTCATGCGCATCTCATCAGTAAAGCCGGTTCTGTGATTATTAGTAAATCTCCAGCACGTGCTTTCAGATGGAGCGGTATTTACCACAAAGCTACGCAAAATCGCGTTCAAAATCGCAGGCGATTCATTGCCGATTATGAACGCGATTTTGTGTAGCTTGTCAGTGAACTACGGCTCTGTGTAGTAAATACCGCTCCATCTGAAAGCACATGCTGGAGATTTACTACTAATCACCGAACCGGCTTTACTGACAAGATGCGCATGAAAATCGCATTCGATTATTTGCACAGCCCTACCCTCAAAGCATCCTAGGTGTATATGGCTTTCTTCTTTCAGACAAATCCAATCGGAGTTATGTTAAAAATTTTCCTAGCTATTCTAAGCGTTAGAATGGGAGTAGATGGGTGTTTTTGTTCAACAGTCCAAACGTAGTCAAATAAAGCGCGCGCATCCATAATAAAACGTGGCTCACACGGCTCCGGGGGGTGAATAAAGGCCTCCTGTGGCGAATTGATGCGTTTTTGTAAGAAAAATATCCATATTTACAATGTTATAAACATTTTTATCTCACTTCCGCTGACTGTCATACGCGGAAGCCGTTCCGGGGATGACGTAGAACGTATGCGTCGCGCACGCGGCTGTGAGATATGCTAGTCTCGCGATTTTGTTTGCAGGAGCAAAGGAAGCAACGTTTCCTCACTTTACCAAAGGAAAACCAGTCTCCTCTTGGCTTATATCGAAATCCTCCTACATTCTTCTTTACAAATCCTCATTTTGTGCTTCTAATTCGTTACCGGCTTTTTGTTTTGCTGTCTCTCCGCTGTGCTTCCGCATTCGTCACGAATCACCGCCGCGTGCGCGATGCATACTTCCTACGTCATCCCCCGGAACGGCTTGCACGTATGACAGTCGGCAGAAGTGAGAAAAAAGTATTTATAACATTTTAAATATGGATATTTTTCTTACAAAAATGCATCGATACGCTACAGGAGGCCGTTATACACACCCGGAGCCAGGTGAGGTACGTTTTATTATGGATGGATGCACTTTATTTGACTACGTTTGGACTGTTGAACAAAAACACCCACCTACTCCCATTCTAACACTCGTAAGAGCAAGGAACATTTTTAATATAACTCCAATTGGATTCATCTAAAAGAAGAAAGTCATATACACCTAGGATGCTTTGAGGGTGAGTAAAACATGGGCTAATTTCCATTTTTGGATGAACTAACCCTTTAAAACAGCAATAAACTAGCTCCTACAGTATGCTACGTTAGTCAGCTTTTCTGAAAATGTCTGAAGATTTCATCTAGGCCTGGTTAAAAATGTATTACCGACTGAATTAAAGGTGCAGTAGGAGAAATGCTAACTTTAGCCGGATGGCACTGAAAGCGTACGTCCCACCCTCCCTGCAAATTGCCGTCCAAAGCCATGCAACTCACCTCATCTTTAGCATGGAACAGAAACTCACTTCCATCCTTAGTTCTAAAATTATAAAGCAAAATAAATGTTATGCAAAGAGAACACTACACAAGTAACCAATCTTTTTGGAAAAGCTAATGAAAGTGCTAATGAAGTACTTGAGAGTGAAGACATTCTTCTTCTTTTTGTAACCATTGTTGATATCACAGGCACAACGGCTCAGGTTGATAAGCGGCTCGTTGTTGTAAGGTGTGGAGGTGTTCTTCGCATCCTTATAGAAGCCCAGCTCACCTTTATTCAGCACACAGTACAAATTCACCCAAGATCTGCTGTAGTGTGGGAGAGAAAGCAGAAGATTTGACCATCAGAACCCAGATGACACCATGCACCGACTAGCTACTCACCTACTGAGTCTGGGATGACCAGCCTTTAAGACTGAGCAAGACCAAACTGCTGCAAAAATCATTAGACCTTTAGAAAGAGACGGACAGACCATGGCTTACCTTTGTAGAGAGGGAGAAGAACAGTCGGCGGCAGAGAGAGCATAAGAAAGAAGAGAGATTTTGGTTCATGAGATATACTGCAATGTAAACGCAAATGCTAGTATGAAAATGGCGTCAGTGGACAGGCAGATTATGTGCAAACCATGCTACAAAAGAACAGACAGCCATTCTTTTGAGTTCCTTAAACTCCTCAATGCAATGAATTGTTTTGTGACTTGGGCTGCAAAGGTGGCGTATCCGGTCTTATACAAAATGGCTGTATAAAGCTGTGAAGGGTGAAGGCTTCATACCTTGCTAGCCATGGCTTCAGAGACCCAGCATCTGTTGGTCTTCTGACACAGTATCATCCACCATCCAGGCTGATTTTAGTATTACCATGCAAGTGGCAAGCAGTGCTAACAGCTAGCTATTTTCTGCCATAGCTGGATATGAATCTTGTAATCAGAAATGCCAGCCAAACAGCTGCTCCTCAGTTTAACTTCAGGAAACATTTTAGGCTCGTAAAGCATTCAAGCATATCCCAGTTTGACTTGAAACTTGGTGAAAGAAAATAAGAGCTGCCTTGTAATAACAAATGTTAGTGCTCTAAGCATCAGTACACAATGCTAATAATAACATTAGCATAGCTTTGAATAACCAATCATACTGATTGGCATATTTGGTTTAGCCATTTCCATGCTAATTCCATGCCATGTGCCCATCATTTTTAGACCACAAAGCCCCACCTGTTTGAACTCTTCTTTTGGCCTTCAATGTCTATTTTGCGGAAGAGGAACCCTTCACGCTGGGCCATGTGGGTAGCCGGCTGGGGAACTGGTGGGCTGCTCTGGGCTGGTGCAGACCTTGAGCGCCGTGTTTCGCCAGCTGTCGGCTCCTTGGGTCGTGGTCTTCTTCTCGGTTTGGGTCTGTCGCGAGCACGTGGTCGGTCCGGTTTAGAAGACTTCTCAGGAAAACCATTGGGTAGACATGGAATCTCTCCTCGGGCCTGAGTTGGAAATAAACAGTAATGTACATGTGATAAAATGTAGTTTAAAACAAGATACACAAACATTAGATTGTCCACACACCTGTGCTGCTTCTCTTTCCTGAAGCTGCTCCACAATCTCAGCTAGCGTCGACCTTTTGTCCCTGCCAACATAAAGGGGAAATCTGAGACCTGGAAATGCTATTTTGCTTGAACAGAACAGAAAAAAGTTGCTGGGCTGCTTCAAAGTCAATAGGGGCTTTCGTACCACGTAGTTCTAGGAACTAGCCAGCATGCAGGTTTCTAGAGAACCAATTTCTCGCTCGGTCCATTTTCCTGGTTGCTCCAGTAGCAGGAACTCTAAAGCGGCCAACAGCGACATCTTTACTCGCGGTATTTTAATACAAACAACAACAACTGGTCAATAGAAGACGCCGTGATCAGAGCTGTTTTTGCTGTGTGTCATGGTTTTCATGATAATGGAGGTGAAATGTAAACGCACTATTTACGTTACTGAAAGAGCATGAAATTCTGACTAAATCTTCTATGACAACTTGCAGTGTTACATTTCATTGAAGCTGAGAAAACAACACAACACTGCATACAACAGGTACCTAAATGCCGTTATCGCTGTTTTCCATGCTCGTGGAGTAAAGATTTTTTTACATGGCTTTTTAAAAATGCCGGGTAGTCAGTGTTTTGTATGCGTTTGGCCAATCAGCTTACGTCACTGATAGTTCCTATAAAATTGTTGTAGACCCTACTCTGAAGTAGGAGCCAAATTAGTTCCCCCAAATGGGGAGTTCCTAGAACTAAAACCGTTCCTAGTTCCTGCGGTGCGAACACGGCAAAAAGCGCGAACTTCCGCCAATAGTTCTAGGATCTATGAAAAGGTTCCACCGGTGCAAAAGCCCCTAATATGGGAAAGCATTTACAATCCTTTTACTTCCTTCATGTGACAGGTTAAACAGTTCAACAGGCAATGTACAAGAAGAATTTATCCATCAGGAATCGACCGGATCATGAAAAGTGAATGTGAACTGCAGTCGAGAAGTTTTCTTAGAAATCTGTCCGTATTTATTTGAACCTCTGCTTGCTGTGAACTGACTTGATGACCATCATGCGGAAGCTTAAAGGTGATGTTCACCTTCAAGAGAATCTCTACATATCAGTATATATCAGCAATGCTGTAACTTTTGTAATGTCTTTTGTAATGTGGTTTGTTTGTGATCACAAATACAGTCACTCACCCGCCACCAGAGCGTCTGTCCGACTGCTCCCTGGCCTCCTGCTCGCTGCTGTCCTGTCTCTCTGGTCGGTGTCTGTCCCTACGCCGCACCTCATGACCTTCCTGTTCACTAGATGTCTGTCTCTCCAGCCTCCTCTCTGCCCTCCCAGCTCGTTCTCTCCACACCTCCTGAGGCAGCTCGTCCCTGCGTGCCCGAATCAGCTGCTCAATAGATAGTTGTCTCTCCATCCGCGACTCCCTCGGTGGGGGATGCTGCTCCACCAGAAGCTCTGAGCGGCTGCTCCCGCTCCCTCCCACCATGCTGTTTAGGCGTTCCCTTCCTCCGCCTGGCTCCTGGAGCACCACCTCTGCCATCACGTTCTCATGATACCGCTCCCGCTCCCTGTCTCTCTCCAGTAGGGGGTGGACTGCCTCATGGATATGTTCGATCTTCTGCTGTGGGACTTGGGCCTTAAATTCCATTCGCAATTGGGTGACCTTGTGCTCCATAGCAGTGCCCAGTCCTGCAGCCACTCCAACAATCCCAGCATTCCTGGCTTCCTGTAGGCGATAAGTAGCAGCTCCATTCATGATGGGAGTGTAGTTGGCCACAGTAGAACCCAGTCTGCGGGCCACGGAAGAGGGAGAGGGCTGAGGGGTGATGCGCTCCAGCCGGGACTCACCCTGCTCGTATATGGTCTGTCTTATCATGGAGGAAGGGCTACTGCGAGCAGGAGAAGAGTCCTGAGGGTCCAAGAAAACCTTCCGTCCCAGCAAGGGAGTTGGAGGAAGCTTACTCTGCTCTGCTTTTATCTTCTCTACCTAAATCGTTAAACAAGAGAATGTGTTATTATTTATACACCCACAATTCCATTCTGTAACATTTATAAAAAAGACATTATGCTATACACAATTCACCTTTTAATAACATTTTTTTTAAATTTCAGTAGGTAGCCTATTGACAAGTTCAAACTATGGTAAAATTAAAGAAAAGTTTCCAACTAGTAAAAATTGCACAAGTTGCACGTAGAATGTTACAACAGTGACATCAGTGTGGATCTGTTTTGCTGTTTTTAATGTTGCTCAGGTGTGTTTGAATCATGCTCCTCCAGGGCCACTATCCTGCAGAGAATCCTAATAAAAAAACCTGAACCAGCTAATCAAAGTCTTCAGAATAACTCAAAACTTCCTGGCAAATGTGTTTGGCCAGGTTGGAACTAAACTCTGCAAGACACAGGCCCTCCAGGAGCAGGACTGGATACCCCTGACCCTTGGGTTTGGTTGGCTGGTCTCGCTTACTGTGGTAAGACGACGTAAAGAGCTGAAGCGTTCTTCCCATGTGGCCGCAGCTTTGCGAAAGGCTTCATGTCTGCGAATCAGCTGTTCAACCTCATCCACGCTGCCGCCCAGTTCATTACTACTTATGAAGGGCTCCTGAGCAGTGAGCCAGGCCTCCGCTACCACTGCTTCCTGAGCAAACTGATGCACCTCCAACACTGCCAAGGCACAGAAAGAGAATGAGATGTTGGGAAACACATGACACCGATTACATATTTTATGCATAATATTTGTTCTCCATTAGCCTCATTTCACCCACTGTGCTGCAACTCTTCCCAGTGTTTGTCCCATTTCTCAGTGAGCTCTTGCTGCTTGGCCAAAACCTTCTCCAGCTTTTCTTTGATCTGAAATAGTCAATACTTCGTAGTCAGGTACAGACAGAAGACAGCTTGGAATATCTTTTAGTCATCATCTCTTAGGCCAGAAACATACTTTACACAAGTACACCAACAGAGACAGAAATGCAGGCAGTTACATCGTACATACTTATTGTGCTTTCTCGTATTGCTGTGGCAGTAACAAACCATATTCAGGGGGAATTATTATTATTCGGGTAGCTACTTAAAAACAACTTAAAGCAACTTTTTGAAAGAGAATACTGATTGTAGAAGAAATGTTTATGTTAATACACACTATAGCACCCCTTCTGGCAATGTTGAGAATGCAATATGTAATTGCAGTCTGAAACATTTTGTATTGCAACAATGCATGAAATTAAACATGCATAGATTATGTTTTGGGCCTTGCAATGATTTCAAATTTCCAATAGTTTCTGAACAGGTTGTGCTTGCTGTGTCACCTCTTCTGATGCAGGGTTATGGGCGGCCAGTAAAGTCTTGCCCATCTCGATACACTGTAGGACGCTCTTGTTTCTGGCCTCCACTTCACTCTTGAGGCTCTGGTGATAGTTCATCAGGACCTCCACAGATGACACGTCCCTGCAAGCACCAGAGACCCCATATCCCATTAAAGCTCTGAGGAAAGAGCTGACAGTGAGAGGAGAGAGAGTTATTCGGGCAAGAATACATGGGCAACAGAAGCCAACAGAAGGCCATTTTGGCACCATGAAGAGTGTCCATAATGGCTCCTGAGCTTTTGCAGTATTACCGGTTCTTCGTTAAGATTTTCAAAATATGCCAAAACATATATATATGCTCTATAGCTCTGTTCCAAAACCTAGTAAGCTGCGAACCTAGACCTAAGCATTTTAAGGCATCTTAGGTGTGTTCCCAATGCCAGCAATATTATACATAACATCTTTTGGCAAAATACCTTGCATGTACCCTTTACTCCAATACCTTGCATACTTGCATGTACAATAACAAATATATCAAATATTGACTATTGGAATATTTCGACGTTATTTTTAATAATTTCTATGTTAAGTCCTCTGTTCATTTCACATAAATTAGTGTTTCAATAAGGTGGTTGCCTATATAGGAACTGGACAACACAGCAGCTCAGTAAGTTTTCTAACAGATCTATTGTGTTCCCATACGGTGCTCCTAATGGGTACTAGTACGCGTAATCGTAATATGATGTATAAATACTATTGTGCTTCATGCACTTACCACCTTATCACTTATTTGTGCTTGCGGTATGATACCTATAGTACACTCCAGCGGCCACAGTGGCTGCTCTTCAGCTGACCTGATGCAAACCTTCATGCATTACAACGATAAAGTACCTTAATGAGCTCCTACAAGCAGAGAGCAAGTGTCCCAGCATGTGTCCTACCTTGGTTTCTCCCCAGTTCCTATCTGACAGATGATGCTGTCCATCCACATCAGCTGATCACGCACCATCCCAAAGAAGCGTAACTTGTCTGTCGCTGTGGTGATCTGCATTCGGCAGTCCTCACAGGAAATGAGCAGCTCTTTCCATGTCTGCATCACTTCATGTTCTTGCATGGCGATGGCTTCTGCTTTCTCCCCGGCATAAACTGTTCGGAGCTGGGCTGCACTTTCCTGCAACTGTCTTACCTGAGGAAAACAACCCTCTTTATGCAAATGCTGCCACTGTCATGAACTGTATTTTATCATCAAGTATTTTAGAGATCTATCTACAAACTTTACATATTTATTTTGCAGTCCTTGCATAAGGATGTGTTGCATCAGTTCACCTGTGTAACAAGTAGCTGAATATCATGTTCAAAAGTCTGCATAAGTCTCTGCAGAGTGCTGGTATTTGAAGTGCCTCCTTGACATGCACGAACCTCAGGTAACCTCCGCTGCTTATCCTCGATCTGTGCTAAAACCTGAAACACACACACAGACTCATGCTATTCCACACCTGCAGACACATGAGACCACTGTGGTCCAAGCTTTCATACAGCATGAGCACTGCTCCTATTTATCATGTACACACAGTAAACACACAAACAGAGCTTAGACTCAGTCTCCTCAACACCTGCAGCAGAAGGACAAACATGCCTCAGCATTATCCCACAAATATCACAGCAATAAAACAAAATATATACACAAAAAGCTTCCCAGGGCATTAAGGAAAGCTAGGACTGTTATTCAACCAATAATATCAAGTACACTGCCCATGCAACATTCTTGGAAAAGTTGAGATCTACTCCAGAAGAGAGATCATCATTCTGAATCCGATCCAGACGTAGTCTTTGACAAAAATGCAAATTTCTCAGCTTTTTGTTCAAAATGCTTTTTTAGGAAACTTGCCCACATTCAAGTGTTGATAAAGAGAAAATGCATGAAGCTAGAATAAAACATTTAATCTTAAAGCAGAGGCTCTGTTCTTCCTTCTGACATATAATTGCACATTCAGATATTCATAAAACAAAATATTCTGGAGGCCATGAAAATTTGGTGAGGATAATAAAAAATGCTGGCATTGGCTGCCCTGTTGAAAAAAACAGCATATACTGGTTAGGTATTCATTTGAGCTGGTTTAAGCTGGTCCTTAACTGGTCATGTGCTGGTCCTAAGCAACTAGCTCCTGCTCAGGACCAGCACATGACTAGCTTAAAGGGTTAGTTCACCCAAAAATGAAAATTAGGCTGTGTTTTACTCACCCCCGAGGCATCCTAGATGTATATGACTTTCTTCTTTCAGACGAATCCAGTCGGAGTTATATTAAAAATTGTCCTGGCTATTCCAAGCACTATCATTGCACTCAGCGGGTTTAGCAGTGCTTTAGTCCAAAAGAAGTGAAATAAAAAGCGCCCATCCATAAAAGAAAGTGCCTCACACGGCTCCAGGGGGTGAACAAAGGCCTCCTGTAGCAAATCGATGCGTATTTGTAAGAAAAATAACCATATTTAAAACGCAATAATCAATTTAATCTAGCTTGCACTCACTGTTGTAAACAGAAGCAGTTCCGGGCGGATGACGTATGGAGGTCGGCTTTGCGCATGCGCCGCTCAGAAGTGACGTACGCAGAAGCGCAGCGGAGAGATCAAAACAAAAC